AGTACAGACTATGCATGTATAATTCCATAATCCGCGAGCGGACAGTTTGGTTGCATGTTTTATTATGTCTGTGGGCAAGCCCAAGTTTCAGTTTAAGTTTTTATCTGCCACATCCCGCAATAAGTCAGTATTTTCGAAAACCCAGCTCGCACGTTCTTTCGAAAATAAAAACAAAAATTTTACTCTGATTTTCAAAGCTAGTAGTAAGGCGGGGTGTGACAAATCTACTCAGGGCCGAATGTTATACATCACAAATGATGACTATAATGGCTAACACGCAGGTCATATCATGCATGCATTAAACTAAGCCTCGGTGGTCCAATTAACACATTTTTCATGAATGATTTGACTAAGTTAATGAACTCATTTCATTCTAAAACATTAACACCATCAATAACATGATTTATAAGAGTGATTAAACTAACAATCTTGACTTAGGCATGCATGCAACTCGAATTTCATTTTTAAGGCCATAATTTAAATAAATTCGAAACTCAACATTAGACACATGCATGGCTCGGTTTTTCTTCATGAAAAATCATAATATGTCATAAAACAATTTATGAAATCATAAGGCACGAGCTTACCTCGACTGGAAGTGGAGAATTCGAGTTAGGGCTCAAACTAGGGCTAGGTTCGGTTTTGGGGCTTAGGGTGGACTTGGAGTGCTATTTGGTTGAGCTTGTGAACTCCACAAGACTTAGAAAAATCTAAGGAATACATAGATGCTGCTAAGCCTCGAGATATTCTTGCTGGAATGGGCTAGACCTCGCTCTCCTCCTTCCCCGGGCTGGCTCGCGCGCGCAAGGTGCAGGTATGGCCTTCTCGACTTTTCTCTCCAATTCTAAGTGTTATGCTGGGGCTTCCAATTGTCTAAGAGCTTAGAAAGGACTGAGGAAGGGTCCTTAAATAGTGGTTTGGGCGGAGATAGCTAGGTGGGCTAATGGGAGACAAAACAAGTGGGAAATGCCACCCCTCCATGCGCCTAGGGACTTACTGAGGTCTTGGGCATCTTTGCATGGAATATTTGGGTGGAATGGCAGGTTTTTAAGAGTATAAAATGAGGTCAAATGGGGTCTGTTCACAGATGCACGATGTGGGGGGACAAGGACAAAAATCTTGAATATAATAATGCAAGGCACATGTCCACTTTGCATGCTAATTGAGCTCACTTTGCTTAAGCTTTGTTAGGGCCATATTAACTCTAATTAATCCTCATTAAGCCCTTAACATTCGCAGCATTTGGTCTTGGAAAGAAGTGGGCCGAATCTCTTGGAAATGGGCTTGGAATGTTGGCTGTCGTGGACCCCACTGGGCCTGGGCGCGGCCTGCTGGGCTGGTGCGAGGCCTGCTGGCCGCGAGGCGGGGCTGCGCGTGGGGGCTGCATGGGCGGAGCGCGGGAGCACCTTGGGCCGGGTATAATGGGCTAGGACAAGTTCCCAGCACTTAGAAAAATATGTGGGATGATGGTTAGGCCTAGGACAAGGTCTTGGGCGGTCCTTGGGCGCGACTCAGGGCGCGGGTGCGAGGTTAGGGTACGGGCGGCTCGGGTAGGTCTGGGGCTCGATTTTTAAAATGTCCGAGACTTACTTCTTGATATTCCAAGACTTAGAAAATTATTCTAAGTATAAAATACCAAGACTTGGCTATGCTCGAGAATTAACTTGAAAAATAATCGGAACCAAACTAGGGTTCGAAGCCGATAATTTCTCGAGTTGATTTGCTATACTTTAACCATCCAAATTAATGGATTGATCTTCACTTATACTTAGTAAATTCCAAAGAATGATCTATCAAACTTAGGAATTAATTGAGCATTTAGCATATAATATAACTCGAAATTTCTGAAAATACGGATTTCACTTATAGTCGAGCAGTGAAACCATTCTTACTATTATTTCTGATTTGGGGCGTTACAGCCACTCTCATTAGTGTGATTTGCTGTAGTATTATCACCAGAAGAACCATTATGAACTTCAGTAGTTCGACTTGCTCCGACCACTCCATAACACATTTGATTGGTTAAAAAAAGTAAAATAGAATGAATAAAAAAGGGGAAAAAAGAAAACACACCTTAGTAAGTGAACAGCAACAAAGTTCAACATAACGAAAATAACGGAAACAACAACTATTCACTGTAAACAGCAACTATTCGAACAGTTATCCTAAGTAAAAAATAAATAACATAATGTACCTGTAACTATTCCAACAGTAAGTAAAAAACATATTGTACCTTTGACTGATGTCTCCTGAAGGTTACCAGTTGAACCTTCAGGTGCATCCAAATTCAGATTTTGGTTGGGAGCTTCAAGGGTTTGTGGAATGCCACTCTCATTAGTGTGATTTTCTGTAGTATTATCACCAGAAGAACCATTATGAACTTCAGTGGTTCGACTTGCTCCGGCCACTCCATCAGATGACATATTTGATTGGTTAAAAAGTTTTCTGACTCCAATACGAGCTGACGCAGCAGTTGAGCTATCCTTGGCTGCTTGGTTAAGGAGACTTTGTAGAGAAGCTTTTGAAATAACTGTATTTTTACGATTTCCTGGCGCCATTCGTAGAAATCTACATAAGAGAGCAAAAATGTAGGCATATATTAGGACTTAATATCCTTTTGACTAGCGAGAAGAGTACTAAATTCTAATTCATTCAGACAATGTAAGCAGTGCATATAATTGGTGCAGCATATATTAGGATATGTTAAGCTCTTGGCTAGCAAGATGGTTAACAAATCCTATTACATTCACAAAAGGTTGGACAACTATTTACACACATACAAATTAACATCGTCTTAGATTGCACTGCATAGGCATAAATTATCCCAAGAAAGACATGTAACCAGTAACTATGTTTCTAAAAACTCACAAAGTCGTATAACACATGTAGATTTAATAGTAAATAAAAAGTTACACCTTCAGTTGCCTTTTATAAATGAAAGGTGAAGAAAAAATCTGTAAAAACACAAATTTTATACATGAAAGATGAAGAAACTTCATCACCAGAAAAAAATAGAATCAGAAAATGAATCAGGTGAGCCGTAGGTAGAATCAGAATATGGAACATAATATGAAACACAAAATTTTACACCTTCAGCTTCAGCTATTATCATTATACAAAGACAGAATCTGAACATGAAAAAGTATATGAAACATAATATTAAACACAAATTTCACACCTTCAGCTATTATGATTATACAAAGATAGAGTCAGAATAAAGGTGAGCCAATATAAAAATCTATAAAAACACAAATCTTATACATGAACGGTGAGAACTTCACCAGGAAAAGATTGTAAGGAGGCCTGTGTTTTGCTTTTGCGACTACTTTTCTGATGTAGTGCTCAGTATAACCTATATGTGTATATATATTTTAGCAGAATAAAAAAGGGAGAGATTGACGGAGGCACGAAATCTTTAAACCCTTTGTTTCTCTACCCTAATTAGATAAAAAATTCCTAATTAAGCTCCAATTTCAGCGCCAAAAAATTTTTGTCCCGCTACTTGTTTTGCTAGATAAAAATTATAATTTTCTTTTTAATTTTTCAAGTGTGTACAACCGGTACCTGTGGTACCCGATTACCATGGGCGTGATGAGGTCTCTGGCTAGCCTCTGCACCACTGTGACCGACGACCGGACCTCCATCGAGAAGTGGTTATCCCTCGACCATAACACCTGCTCTGCCACGCTGCAGATTCGGCCATCCGCTCACACCATGTAACACCCCGCTTATCAGAGTAATTTTTTCGCAACTTTTACTTCGAAAATACTTATAAATCTTTCGAAATCTTTTGCGACTAACTCGGGATGCTACTCAAACTTATCTTTTTGAAAATCTATTTATCTTTTAAACTTTTGTCTAATACTTCTTTAGACATAAACAAAAACAGATTTCCTTTAAACTTGCATTTAAAATACCATATTCATACTTCTCTAAATGGTAAAAATTGAAATCTGAAATTTATTAAAATGCAAGTTCAAGTCTTAATATGCGTAGCGGAAATACTTAAAAACGTGATTTATTATACAGACATATCAAATACTTAATGAATGTCCACTTGAAATAAGTGCACGACCACCACCACCACTGTTCAGCTCACACCTCCGTTTTTACCCTGTTACCTGAAAAACACAATGGGGGTGAGTACTGATCCTCTTGTACCCCGTATAACACCCATACTAAAGTAAACAGCAATAATAATACGATATCATGATCTTTGGTATATACATAACTGGACTGTTCCAGTAAATAAAACTTTACTCATTCTCTTTCCGATAGTTAATCGGATACTTGTGCACAATCTGATGGATATTTCTTAGGCAACTTAGACGGCCTCCATCAGAACTTAGGAAGTACTTGTAAGGCAACTTGGCGGCCTTCTTCCCAAGCGTAAAAACTTAAACTTTATACATACCTCGAACATGATACCAATATTATAGTCAATGTAATACCCAGTCTGGGTCCCCACCTTTTCATCTTTGAAATCGTTTGTAACTCGATAAGTGCTGTACTGATACTGTATCTGCAAGTTAAATCAAATATAGACAAATATACTAAGTACTATGCTCATATACTCAATAAGTTCTTAAGATTATTAACTTATCCCACTTGCTTATTCTCAAGTTTATACTTAATTTCACTTTATATTTAAGGTCAATTTCTTAACCTTGTATAAATCATGACTTCATAAACATCAATATGGTATTAAACTTATCATGTCATAACTCAAATGTGAAAATAACTATATTTCACATTTATAATTGATTAAATACTTAACTTTTAACATCCTCATCAAGATATATAAATTCATCTTGATCTTTAACTTAATCAAGTACTTAATCCATCTCCCAATTTATAGATATTGGCTTATATTAAATTTTCACTTAATTAAATTGAAAGTGAAAATAATCTCAAGCCATAATCATCTTTTACACATAATATTTAATCATGATGTTAATATGTCATACTTAATACAATTTTTATAAAATTGTATACTCAACATATTATACCAAAACATCATAAAATTACTTATATGAGAATTATTCATGATCATCTCATTTTAATAACTTAACCATTTCATGAATATTCTTGCATATATACTTATCTTTACATATATGCTTTCTTATATTCATAACTTATTCATTTCTCATCTTTAAATTATGAAACTTAACAGTCATAATCTCAACTTATAATTAGACATGTCATCAAAATTTCATAATTTTATCATGCATATATCTCGACTTATTCAAGTTTAAAGTTGCTGCTGGAAACAAGTACATAAAATTCAGCTTGCATGATAAACTTTAAAAATTCATATCTTAAGATATACTTTGCCAAATAACTTAATTCTTGTTCTCATGAACTCCTCTTTTACATAAGAATCATTCATTTAAATCATACTTTTCCAGCATATTCATATCTTTATGAAAATCTCATGCAATTCATCATCTTATCACCTCAAGTACATATATCATATAATTGATCTTTAACATCTTTAACTCTTTGTATCAATTATAAACTTCAACTTCTAAATCATGATATACATACTCATAAACATGTAAACTCATTTTCAAAACATGAACTTAAGCATGTAACTTTAAGATAATTAAATTACCTCCTTCTTGCTAGAGTAAAAACTTCATTCTTCTTTACTTCTCCAAAGTTTATCCTACTCATTCTCTCTTTCACTCTTATTTAACTTTGGAACTTTATTTTGGTGTGAAAAACTCTGAATTTTAGGCCTCTATTTATAGGCACAATTGTGAGAAATATCCAAATACAGTGAATTTTTGTTCATAATAAACAAATGTAACTTATATCTTTAAATACTCATAAACAAATGTAACTTATATCTTTAAATACTCATAAAATATTTTATGATCAACTTATTCAACTCTCCAAACATATTATATACTTAGAAATTTCCTTTGGATAATTTGGACAAACATCCAAATAGAGTGAATTTTGGATCATAATAAACAATACAAACTTGAAAAAAATAAATATAAATAATAAATAGTATTCTTAACATGTAAACTTCTCCAACTCATAGTCAATGCTTAGAAAGGTCCCTCTTATGATCCTAATCTGATCTTAATAAGTAAATTCGAGATTTAGTGAAAATTCTCCAATTTACGGAACCAAATTCTGACTTAAAACGAACAGTTATCGTAAAATCGAAAATTCTTACAATTTTCGAATTTCCTTCTTTTCTTTTGGTATTTTTCATTTTTATGCTGAAAAATTTTTCTTATCTTGTATTCTACTGAAAATATAGAGAGAAAATAATTTAATGTATTTCTCGGAACTGAAATCGGACATAAATTCCGACTACAATCGAAAAACGCAAATTCTAAAAATTTCATATTTTTCTCTAATAATTTAAATAGACTAAAATGTCTAAATAAATTTTCTCACTTCTTTGAACATTTATAACTTAATAACTGGGCTCGAAACTAGGAACGAGCATTATTAATAAAAGTAATTAGTTCAAACTTAGAACTAAAAATACTTACTTTTATTAATTACTGAATGGGATATTACACACCATCCCCAATCCAGTGAAATCTCTTCTTCATCAGGACAACGAGCTCGAGCAGCATCCAAATGGCTCGAATGAATCTTTCATCGACTAAGAAGTCTTTAGAAGGTAGTTCACTAAGAAGCTCCAATGTTGCCGATGCCGTAGATCACCATCTCCATCTGCGGCCTGAAGGAACTTGGCCAGCATCTCGTGGCTCCGCATCTGGTTTAGGAAAGAGTTGCAGATATCTAAGCCGGCGAGCTCCTGGGCATGATGATGTCTCTACCGAAACTCTGCACCGGCGTGACCGACAACCGGACCTCCATCAAAAAGTGACTGTCCCTCAACCACACCACCTGCTCCCCCACGCTGCAGACTCTGCCGTCCGCTCACACCACCCACAACCTCACCCTCCACACGAACTCCACCTCTGTCCTCGTCCTCGCCGAAGATTTCGAGCAACAATTGGCAGACGTCATCAATTGTGCCAAGATTGAATTCCTATTCCCTCGTGAAATTGATTCAATTTTTAGGTTGTATTTGGGAGATGAGATCGACACAGTACGGTTTTGGTCTGCAAGTTAGGTTGAAATTGGGGTTAAAGACTTAATTGGTGAGTGACGAGAATGAGAAGGTTGAAATTGGTGAGTGACCTTTCACGACATTTGTTGAGTGATGAGAATGAGATGGATTTTCATCCACTTGGTATAATTTGGATTCTTAATGACACTTTAGTAAATATAGGCTATTGATAAGGTTAATAAGGCATATGACATCATATTTTATATAGTAAATTTATATACAAAAAATTGTTAATTAAATATTATGTTAACTTAAATCATTCAAATATTTAAGCTAATTAATTAATATATGTGTAGATTTTGTAAAAAACTTATATTATTCTTATTCGTATTCGATTTACAATAAAATTAATTCATGATTCATATTCATTCGTTCGTTTAAATCGAAAATCAAATCCTACTGGCTAAAAAATAAATGACGTACCGACTACTTTTATATATGAATAGTTTCTAA